GCGGCCCTCAGCCAGCTGGGCGTTGTCGTTGGTATGAAGAAGAAAGAGGAGTCCAAATTTAATTTGTTGTTCGTCGTGGTGGGGCGCTGAACACTCACCGGTCGGATGGGACGGATATGACTGGCAGGTGGCATCCATCGCCTGGGCGGCCCCGGGCCCCAGGACGGCGGCGCGGCGGGAGACGGCGACCCTGGCGGCGGCGGCGTGGTGCAGGAGCGGGTGGCCCACCTGGTGCCGTGGCCGCAGCTGCCCCACCAGTCCACGCTGCCCCCGCTGCCGACGCACCTGGGCGTGGCCGGCACCCTGGCCGAGCTGCGGCAGCTGTCCGAGCACGAGGCCTCTCTCCTCGACCTGGAGGGTGAGGCCGCCAGAAGATCGCACCGCAGACACCACGCAGACGCCTCGTCGTGAGACTTTCAACATAATTTTATTTTCTGTGCAGATTCGGGAGATATGCGAGATAAGTCCCTGAGGGACTCCTCGGCTGTCAATGACAAACCGTTCCGGTCGCAGATTCAGGTAGGTGTGGGTGGGGAGGCCGTTCCGCAGCGACCAAGCCGCGACGCGACCGTGAAATATGTTTGTTGACTTTGTCCCGCCGCCCGTGTCGACAGGTGCGGCTGCGGCACCCGCAGGTCCCCCCGGGGCCCGGCGGTGGCTCCCTCCGCGGCCCCCGGCTCGTCGCGGCCGCCTCCCCGCCGACGGGGCGGCGCGAGGCCGCCACCAACTCGCTGCCCCTCAGGGGGCGGCAGCTCTGCGCCCAGGCCGCCGCCGCCCCCGGGCCCGCCCCCGTTCCGCTGCAGGGCCCGCGGCCCAGGCTCCTCGGCCCTGCGCTGCAGCCCCACGTCATCCCCGGCTACCACGTGAGTACTCGTCCTGAGCTCGCCGCCACGCGGCCGCTCGGCCCCCTTCTCACTTGACGCTCTTCTTGCAGACGGGCACGCTGCGGAGGCCCAGCACGCCGTTCCCGGTCGGCATGCTGCGCGCGCCCGGGCCGCCCATGGGGCCGTTGGCGCCCCTCAACCCCGGCCCCCGCGCCGCCGCCGCGACGCACGCGCTGTCCGGGGCCGACCTGCCCGTGGTCACCATGCCCATGCCCCTCGCCGTCGTGACCAACGGCCGCCCCGTGCCCATGAGCGCGGGGGCGCTCGCCGAGTCCTGCGGGGACGCTACCCCGGCCTTGTCGCTGGCGGCGCCGGTAAGCTCGACTCTTCGCTACTGTTCCTATGCCTCGGCTGCTAATTCGATGTTCGCGACGGAATGGCAAATTTATTTTTATGGAGAAGGTAAAATTCACATTAGCCGGACTAACGATGTAGGCGCCGTCACAACATCTTTTGTCTCTCGCCCAGCTGCCCGGCTCTTCGTATTGGATGGCTTCTCACTGTTGTCGGCCCTTGTGTCTAACCCCCCGCCAGGTTCCCTCGCTGGTGGTGGCGACATCGGCCCCCTCCGAGGCGGCGGGCCCCCCTCCCCCCTCGGCGGCCGTGCCGTCCACGCCCCTGCCCGCCCCCGGCGCGGGCCCCAAGCACGGCGGCATTCAGGCCCAGGACTCCCTGGGGTCCGCGTCGAGCGTCTGCGTCGACCCGTCGGAGCGCGGCGCCGTGGAACCGGGGCCGCGGACGGAGCGCAGTCAGACCATGGAGTCGCGGCTGGAGGTGAACACGTGTGTGGAGCTGTACTAACCCCTGCGCAACGGCCGGCCCTCTAACAACGCGTCCGCCTGCTTGCGCTTGCCATGAGGCTTGCCGTACCGACTCGAGAGATGGATTGAGATTGATCCCGGTGTGCCCGCCCCGCCCCCTGCAGGCGCCCAGCAGCCTCCGCTCGCTGCCGGCCAGCCCCGCCGCCTCCCCCGCGCCGTCGCGCCGCGCGCCCCACGGCAAGCGGCTCCTGAGGAAGCAGAGCTCGGCGCAGAGCCTGGAGGAGCCGGCGACCAACGGCAACGCGCTCGCCCCCTCGCCGTCCTCTCGCAGGCGCACGGCCAAGCAGAAGGCGCACGGTACGTGTCTCTTCAAGTCATCAACGTAGTGTTTGTTCGAAAGTCTCATCTGTGTACACCAGACTTCATTTTTGCTGCGACTTTTTATTACTTTAAAAGGAATGATGTAATCTAGTTGAACAAATAATACAGTAACTGCAGTTTACAGACATCTTTCATACTCTGTAATATTTCTTTTCTTTACTTAATGTCGGTGATCTCAGTTGTTACATCCGAAATGTATTCGAGTGGTTGACCCCACGGCATCCTTTGTGATTGAGTTTTGTCCCCCAGCAGCACAGGGTGAGCCAGGCACCCCTGGGGCCGTCTCCACCAGTGGCTCGACGGCCACCCCCGGGACGCCCTCCAAGCACCCCGGCCAGGCGGGCAGGCCGCACGCGGCCGACGTGTCGCAGTCGTCGTCCTCGGGCCAAGAGTCGCCCAACAAGTCGGAGCGCAGGCGCCGGGTGTCCATCCTGAGCCGGAAGCCTCGGCGGGCGCCCTCCCCGACCGACGCCATCCTGCCGGCCGACCACACGACCACGGCGTCGGAGAGGGAGCGCACCAACAGCGCCTCCTCCAGGGACTCGCGCGTGTCGGCGTGGAGGGCGACGGGGAGGCGGCGGCTGTCCTCCATCCGGAGGGACAACAGCACGGAGCGCGAGTCGGGAAAGGTCCCGTGGTGCGGCTGCTGGGGCAACGGCTGCCTCTGAGACGACGCCGCCGACAACCGATCCTCTGGGACCTCGGCGGGGGCCTCTGGGATGTCTGGCGCTTCCGATGACGCCTCGTCCATGGCGGGGTCCACATCGTCGTCGTCGTCCTGGGGGCCCCGGGCCCGGGCCTGGGCCCAACGCATGAGTCTGTCCCCGGCGCGCCAGGACAGCACAGCCTCGGGCAGCGTGCCGTGGTGCGGGTGCTGGGGCAACGGGCTCTTCTGACGCCAGGAGGGCCAGAGACCTGTTCCCCTGCTGCCCGTCGCCGTGCTTCTTGTAAGCTGCTTGTCTTTCATGGGAGCCCTCCGCCCCTGCCCCCCTGGGGGTCGGGGCGGCGGGCGCACACACGCGCATCGCCACGGAGTGTGGTTGCCGAGGCCCTGCTGCTGTCCTGGGCCGGACTGGCCAGGCTCTCACCGGGAGGTGGAGACGGCCTTGCCGGGGGCGGCCAAAGTTGGTGAAAGGGTGAGCGGCGCACTGCAGCGGGCCGTCGGGCCTCGCCCTGCCAGTGCGCTGCTCACCGGAGCGGTTGCCGGCGCTGCGAGTGTGTGCGAACGTTTGGGCCACTTACATTCTTATTCCGTGGCTTCGTTCGTAAGCTCCCAGTGAGCATCATGAACTCTTTTCTTATCTAGTCTGTTAGTGCCATGTACAGTACAACTCTTTCTTCTTAACTACTCACTGCGCCTGCCTCTGGTGCACGATCGTACCTGATTATTAGTATCGCTGTGTATACGGCTTTTCTACTCGCAACTTATATTACGCATCAGAAATAATGTGATAATATAATATTTTTGTACTTTTCTTCACTGACATCTTTACCTTTTCACCTAAATGTATTAATTCTAGTCGGAAAAATTGTAGAAATTAAGGTAGTGCAAATTATATTTCAGGAAAAGGGAAACGTGTTCCAAAGACGTTCAAATCTTCTACACTAGTATGTCACACTGTTACCAGAACATAACAAATGCCACTATAGGTAGATTATTTGCTTCATTTTGAGTAACCTTTTGCATTTATGATTGACTTCTTTAAATTTGCATTCCATTTTATATAAGAAAACAGTATAACAAAAACGTGTTATGTGCCCTTCATTGCGCCGGTTGCGAGACCGGATGCTTCAATTGTTATGCGGCTCAGCGTCTTTTCGTATGGAATGAATTAAACCATATTACTTGCCAAATACGTGTTTTATTGTGAGCTGTCTGTCACAACCTGCTCCTGAAGCACTGAAGTTCAAAGTAGCTCTGCGTCCCCGTTCCTGCCTGTCTCTCGAACAGGTCGATGCTATCCCCGTTCTCGGAGACTCTAGGCCGCTCGACGTCTCTCCCATCGTCTGTTCGGCTCTATCCCGCGCCTCCCGGCTCTTTGTCTCAGTGGTCGCGGGGTATCTCTCTACATTTGCTATAGTCCGTTTTTCTCAACTTCATTCGGCAAATTAAGGGGGCTCGGCGCCTGCGAGACTCGGGGTAGGCTACACGGCAGTACACGCACACATTGCACGCAAGATGTTGCCTACATACCAGGCGCTATGAGAGCGGACAGAGACAGAGTTACCATAGCGACGCGTTAGTTGTGACAGCAGAATTTTGCTTCCCATGGCAAATTCTTTGATCCTGCAACTAAAATTGTTTGTTATGTCCATGTTAACTAAATCGTTAGTTGTGAGGGCAAATTCTTTTTTTCCGTGTTGCGTGTACATGGTCGAAAGTTGGTTTTACTGTGCTTTCTCTATACCATGCCGCAAGCGAGGGGGCAACAACTTCGATTTAGGATGTACACAAGATTACGTAATTACAGGGACTACACGTGAATTTTGAGGAATTACACATGAATTTTGTTGAATTTCTGGCTCTAAAACCATTAAATATTTAGACTGTAAGGTGAAATTTAGTGATAATGGCATAAAATTTGGTCAAGTATTACACAAGAATATAGGACAATACATAAGGATTACATAGGGATTACACCCTCATCTGTACACAGGATTACGCGAGTGGTGTCCCCTTCGGCCGCTAGTCCGCTGAATTGCAAGATAGCGAGTAACAAACAGCCATAAACAAATGACAGCAATATACGAGAGAAAATTCGGACACAGACATATTTCCTTAAATTTGTATCATCTGGTTTCACAATACGTCCCTCGACGTAGCTCTTTTTTTTCTTTCTTTGAAGCCTGTTTCTCTTTGAAGTACATTTTCCCCAAATTTTAGCATATCGACGAGGTCGGAGAAAAATAGGTCGGACAAAACCGAGGTCGGACAGCACTTTTGGGGATTTTCGAAAAATTACCAGGTCGCAGAAAAATAGGTCGGGCAATCTAAATACACCCCGTTCACGCTACTGCCGACTGCCGTTCACGTCTAGTACATTGGCATATCAAAAACGATCAAAAGTGTTCGTACGGTTTAAAAGTACGGATTTACTGTATCTTTCCTTTTTTTGGTATACGGTAGACCCGTATTTTGCTACGGTCTGCAGAAGTCGCTCCTTCACGAAGGCACTTTTGTAAAGTAAGAACCGTAGTAAATCTCTATGTTTAGCACGCAGACCGCAGCCGCGATAGATATGGCGTAGGCGATGAAAACAGGTGACATTTGGCTTATTCCAAAAGGTTTTACCCGCCTTTGGGAGTCATACTGAAATCACAAACACCATACAGGGAACATGATTGTACTACAGAATCAGTTCAACTCCAATATTGACCTACCTCCTGCATCGTGTTAGAGTCGCCCTCCTCCTGTTGTCTCCAGTGCGAGAGTAGGCCGACCTCCTCGAGGAGGAGCACGGTGTCGCGCAGGGAGGCCTCGAGCGGCGAGCCGCGGCGCAGCAGGAAGGGGAACACGTTCATCGTGGACATGCAGTGGTGCTGCATCACGTGAAGCCCCCGGTGCCTGCCTACATGGAAGCTAAACCATTAGCTATGGAGGACAGGGTAACTTATTCTATAGCTATGACGCAAAAAATTATTGCTGTGTAGTTAAAAAATATAGCTAAGCTCGTATAGCTATATGTAGCAAAACATAGCTGATGTTTTATCCCCCAATAGCTATAGCTATTTATTGATACATAGTTCGTTATCCCGTATTCAGCTATTGGTGTTGCTGCACAAATAATCATTTTTTACCGCTTATTTCGATGCTCACCTGACGGCGCTCTCGCGAGCAGGACGAGCCAGTCGCGTCTGTCGACCACGGCCATGGTAGCGTTGGCTAGGTAGTCGTCCAGGTAAAACTCAGGGATTTCTCTCGCTCTCCGGAAAAGCTTGGCGTAGGCGGGGATGAACGTTGCCGTGTTTCTCATGTGCTCCAGAGGGGATACGTATCCGCCTGATTTTAAGGTAATTATTATAATCTAATCCCGCTTCTTCAAAAAGATCAAAAAAGCCAAACGAAACACCCCAACTTGAGCCTGACCCACGGGGATGTTGGAGTCGGCCAGCTCCTGCACGGACTTGACGGGGCGCGCGCCGACGGGGGCGGCCACGAGGCTGTGCAGCGCCGCGGTGTAGGCGGTGGTGAGCACGATGCCGACGTACACCCAGGAGCTGAGAAAGACGCGGCCCGCGGCCCCGCGCGTCTTGTGGTGCACCGGGAGGCCCACCAGAGTGGCCGTCACCAAAGCAACCGCGGTCCGGTCTGAAATGATAAAAACAAAACAGAAAGACAACACTTCTCAACTCTGCACTCGTGTGGTACAGCGGACACAACAGTCTGCCTTACATATTTCCACGCGCCGTCCGCTCTTGTCGAGGTTGGGGTCAAAGGCAGGCTCGTATTCCATGAGGAGCGCCGCCGCGTACCAGGCCACGATGAGGGACGCTCCCACCAGGGCCCACGTCTCGGGGGTGAACTCTGCGGTCAGTCTGGGGATGTCTCGTTATTATTACACAGTGAAAAATAAGTCGTACGTTTACGGGAAAATTTTCTATGATTTGTGTCGTAAAATTACAATTTGAGCTTGTAAATTTACAAGCAATTTTACTTGGAATTTAACCACAAGCAAAAATATGCTTTCGCAAATTTTCAAATTGTGTTGTACATAAAATTTACAACAAATATGTTGTAAATTTTCTGGGATGTTTTTCAGAGTACAGAGTAAAATACAAGGCAAAACTACTCGCGTTTACCTCCAAAAGAGGGCGGGCTGCACGCCGAAAGCGGCAGGCACCGCCCACGTGTAGCACCACACGGTGTACGAGACGGGCACCGTCACGTTCTGGGAGAGGTACCACTCGTTGAACGCCCCTGGGAACAACGCCACGTCCACGGCGCCCTCGCGCACCTGATGCTTCAGGCCCTTGTTCCACTGGTTTGGCCACGGGCCCAGCGAGAGCTGCACTCGGAACACCACCACCGTTAGGAGAAATATGCAGCCGAATGGCGCGACCGAGGTGGTGGTGGTACTAACAACCGACCTTTGCGGTGAAGTTGAGGCGCTGCTCGCAGGCACGAAGTAAGGAAGCGCCGACACCCCATAGGTTGTAGCCCCCGCCGTGCGTCGAGTAGTTGAGGTAGCCTACGATCATATTTTCAACGATAGTGGATGAAACAAGAATAGGGCAAAATTTCGAGGTCACAATGTTGTAGGCCTAAAAAACAGATCCGGGCGACCGCGCAGAACTCACCGGGGAAATTCATGAAGCCGACCCGCAGCGGACACCCGAAGTGGTGCAGTCTGCGCAGCGCCCGCGCGCCCGCCGGCCCGGCCTCCAGCGGGAAGGCGCTGCGCCGCTGCTGCTCCACGCCATGCACCCCGAGGAGGCCATGGCCCCAGAGCCGCAGGCCAGTGTCGGGCCGCCACCGGCCCACCAGCCGGGCGGACGAGTCGTTGCAGCCTGGCACAGCCAGCGGGGCGCAGCATCAGGCGCCTGCAGACTGCCGCGTAGGCAACCCCGGCTGCTTCCATGTCCAGAGTTGCCTACTTGGGAGGCTGCAGGCGGCTGAGCAAAGCAAGTCCCAGAGAAACTCGATGGAAAAGTTTTGAGGGCTGTTCAGAAAACTTATGCACAATCAAAGGGGTAAGTAAATATTCAAAAAACAATGTCTAGTACGTGGGTAGAAGGGCCAGTAGGCATGCACGTCGTTGCAGAACGCGCACTCCAGGGGCCGGCTCACGACCACCACGTTCAGGTGCGAAGTCATGGTCCACACGGCGAGGAACACGTCGTCCACGGCGCCCGGGGCGGCCGGCCGCGGAAGCACGAGCACGAACCGGGACAGCGGCCAGCGCGAGTAGACGCGGAAGAGGGACTCTGCGACGGAAACTCTCTCATCAGCCCCAAACGTCACATCGCGACGTAGGGATTTTGAAGTCCGAAACTTATCCGGAAAAATCGGAAACTTGAAATATTTCCAGAGACTGGAAAGAAATGAAAACTTTTCAGGAAGAAATTACGGGATTAAAATTACCGCCGAGAGCAGCGCGGATGCCCTTAGCGTCGTCGCGATCTAGCAGGATGACGTTCAAGTCGCAGCGCTCCGCACCATAACCCCGCGAATCAACCGGAAGGCTCCCGAACGGGAAGAAGGCCACCGGGTAGGCCAAGACTTGCTCGCCCAACGTGCCGTTTGAAGTCGTGTCAGGGCTACAGACGAAAACAATTAGTTGTTCAAGTTCATTCTAGCGTTTTCGAAACATGTTTTGTTCTCCATAGTTGATGGCACATCATATGGAAC